AAGACACACTGTTGAAGTGAAGGAGGTAATATAATGTAATTGTGATCTTCAGTACTCCCTGCTYATGAAAATAACAGCATGGACAGTAAAAAAGAAATACTTATTAATTTAAACACACCCTGCTTTTGAATGGCCAGTGTCTGTGTCAGAGGCCTCATTAGGAGCTCAGAAGCAGGGGAGGTGCCTCTCTGTTTCTGTGGCTATATCTGTATAGGAAGATGTGGAAATTGCTGTAAAACACCTCTTTGTGCTGTGGTGCTGTTAAGAAGAGCAGCTCATGGCTCGCAGGCAGGATTAGCAGCTGCTGCAGAGCTCTGGGATGCCTTTATGCTGCCTGTTCCTGCACAGACAGCTGTTGGTGTTGTGTGCACACACATCTGCTGCTGCTGCTCACTCCTGTGCCTTTTGTACCCCACAGACACAAACATTTGCAGGTACCATGGCAGGGCRTGTCTTGTGTGCCATCTGAAATCAGGTGGTTTTTGAGGGGCAGGTAAAATTTTCCTTCCCTCCAAATCAATGCTGATTTTGCACAATTTTGTAATTGCCTACTTTCTGCTTGGCTGGAGATGTTAACCCATTAACAAATTATGTATGGCTTTGTCTGACCAGGACAAACCCACAATCTTGCCTTATTTGCAGTAATTCTTATGGATTATAATAAATATGTTTTTTACAGGAGATTATTTCACACTTGGTGGTGCAGTCACCCTGCCGGACCTCTTCTATATAGAATAAAAAATGTGTTTTGTACTTCCAATTTTTTTATGCTTTTGTTTGTTCTACACAATTGGGTATCACTGATATAATAAACATACTTTGCAGTGGAAGGAAAAGGCAAAAAAAGTCTCGAAGGTTTCACAAGTCAGAGGGAAACCATTTCCTCTAAATTCCTGAAAATGTATTTTAATATGGTAATAGTATTAATATTTTTAGGGTTCCACTTTTCCTAATTTTAAAAGCACAAAATGATAATATCTTAACTAGAACTTTACTGCAAAGTATGTCTTTATCCTAGAGTAAGAAATGTTTTCAGGAACATSTTGTAATGGTGTGATTTCCAGCAGCTAAACAATGAGAGTGATGGATGTGCGTTGGAGGTTCTCTTCTGGGTTTGGCCACTAATGTGATTTTTGGCCACAGARTCCCTCGTGATTAAAAACTCAAAATAACTCTGCAAGCCATGGATTCTGTCCTAGATTCCTTTTACCACCATGGTGATTTTTTTTGTGTGTGAAAGGATATTGTGTACAGGATTATTTCCCCTCTTAATGGAAGTGTCGTTGCTCCTATGTTGGAACATTCTCAGCAGTGGCTGAACAGTGAAGATTCACATTGTAATGTAAAGGAAGCAGCCAAATCCAGCTGCTTTTACTGATTGAATTTCGTGTAGATACAGCTTGTTTCTGTACTGTGTAGTCAATCTGTTCAGAAGGATGTCCTCCTACRAAAACTTCTATGGAATTTTTAATGGCCACAAGTGGTTGGAGCATTGTTTATACATCTTGTCTCAAAGCTGGAATATGTTCCTGTAATCAAGTTTGAAAARAAGGGAGCATGTAGGGGGAAAGGAAGAGAGAATAGCCTGAGAATATCCGTTGAGGCRATGTCCTGAGACAATTAGATTTGTTCTCAGAGATGAATGTATATTATTTTAAAGGCCAGAAGAAACATGTCTGCCATTCAGTGCATGGGTGAGGATAGGTTTGTTTGGCTTTAAACTTTGTGTTGTGTAAATATCTTTACACTTGCAAGATGTTTCAACTGCAGCAAAATTAAATTCCATCTAATTGTTCTTTGCTTGGAATGCAAATATGAAGACCACTAATTTGGAACTGATACAGAAGAAGGAAAATGTTTATCTTTATGAAACCAAAAAATTAACTGAGCAATGAGAGTCAGGAGCTTGTGTTGCTTCATCACTGGGGTTGCAGAATTAGTGTTTTGTCTGTGTTAATGTTGTTATGAAACTTTCTGCTGCTTGTGGATATTTACTGTGTCCTCTGGAGAGATTGAACTCTGAAGTCAGTTGAAGGGGTCAAGTGAGATTACGTTAGACTTTGGCTGGTGACTGGCAATTGAAAGGCTAAAAGTGAAGTTACATACAGGARTTTCACTTCTTATAATGCTGTTTGAGAGCTGGAAGAGATTTAAATGTTCCTGCTGAAAAAGATGAAGGTATCATGGTTATAGACTTGGAAAGTATTAGATTTCTGTTTCGTATTACGGGATTTGCCCCTAGTTCTCACTAACCTATGGGAACTTTCTTTACAAGMGGATCTGTTGCATTTCTTTCTCAATTTCTAAAAATTTTTGGTTTTTTGGTACTTGCAGCCAGAAGGATGGTAATAAAGCAAACATCTTCAGTGTCACACTCAGGGCAGTTCTGTCACCACAGGACACAGGGAGGGTGCTGGCCAGTCCATCATCCCTGCTCTGTGCAGGGAAAATGCTGCCTCTGCTAAGAGTTTCTACAAGCTGAGTAGCACTGTAGCTCCCACTCAGTTACATCCTGACTCTTCTGTTCTTGTCAAAAGACACTGAAATATTTTGGCTCTGATATTTAAATATCATTGTTTAAAGATGTTGCATTAATGTCCGGTTCTATCTAAGTGCTCTACAAGTGCAGAATCTTCTTTTCCAGCAGACTGCTTGTCTTGTATCTGGCAGATAAATACTTGWTGTTATTTCCTAATGCAAAAGGTAGCCTGACTCCATTTAGCTTTTTTCCTTTCTGTCTAACAGCATCATTAATTATACTGTGAGAGTTGTCTCTGCTGTGGCTGTGATCAGAGGAGAGGAAAACACAGCAGACAGTATTTGTGTGCTGTAGGAAAACACTGAGGTGTTTGATTTCTCTTTTTTATGGGTTGCTTCTGCATARAAAACAGTTATAATTTGTGTTGATTCCAAAAAAGCAATTTTTCTTGCTCCAGATATTCCAAATCTGTTCCAAAGAGCCTTCCCTGCACAGCAGAGTAAGGGAGAAGGAACTGCAGAACCACTCACTGCTGTGCTCATTTGAGAAGGGTTTGTGGCTAATACAGAGATTTTGTAATTCAGCTTCAAGAGAAGGCAATAATATCTATGAATTTTAAATATTTAGTGCTTGAAGATAATTTTCTGTTTGAGTTTTGATTAGCATTTCCAGTTGCCAGCAATTTGCCAGCAAAGTTACCAAAATGTCTTGCTGTAGCAAAAAGTTAAAAAWTTATCATCTCTTACTAATGCTGGTACTGTAAAACTTCAGTGTAATTTCATCTGCAATACTGCAGAAATGCTTTCAGGATATCAGAATGTGCTTCATAGTTAAGAGAGTGATTATATATGGTTTGCCATTTGTATAATCAACATTGGGCAGCTGTATTCTTTTATTTTTTTTTGTAGTTGTTAGTCCTCAGTTRACTAGTTGGAATATTTGYGGTGTGTGTATRTACACAGTGTGTTGTWGTCATTARTTCTCCTTGGTTTAGGATTTTAGGGTAAACATGAGACAAAGATGTGATGTAGGCACGTGAATTTATAAGGTTTGATGTGAAAAGAATCCTACCACTATTTGCATGCAAGGAATTTTTAGGAGTGGGTGGATTTCTGATCAGATGAAGAGAAAAAGCAGGTAAACATACTGAAGTCTGGTATTTGTTCAACAGAAGACTGTCATTTCCTAAACTGAAAGTAATTGRATCATGTTTGTATCTGGAGTAGTTAAATGAAATCATTTGCCCTAATTACTTCATGTCTGACAAGCTCTGTCGCCATTTGRATGTTGTTATGATTTGGATCCTAAAATGAAAGGAGCTTGACCACTGGATGTTGGAATAATCAATATAYTTTATTCTTAAGATTTGAACAGAAGCTCTCTTCCAAATGTGTGTTTAAAACTCTGCTCTCTGTTCAACTTTTTCTTGTAGTCCTCTTGCTCCAGTCTGGTRGATGTGTGTGGGACATAAAGCAGTGGCCTTGGCCATCCCCAATGATTACATTTGTTGTGTGTTGCTGTTACATCCCTTATTAATTATTTCTGTTCTTCCATTTTACTGAGGTGGAAGGAAAACGCTGTTGTATAATTAAGGAGCTATTTCCAAGAAAGTGGGTGGCATTAGAATTGTTATTATAGGATTGCTGCACAGGAGGTGAATATTTGTGGTTTGTCTAATGCTGTACAAATGAGCWGAAGTAAACTCTGTCCAAAGAAGTTTCCTTCTGAGGAAGTTTGTTCAAGAAAAGCAGAGGTTTTGTGCAATTAATTGTTGGTGTTTGCTGTTTGTCAGACAGAGACACAAGGTGAGAGTGGGGTGAGTGACAGACACACATTTGCATCCTCATAGCAACTGATTTTTATCAACAGGGTCATAAATTTGATTTAGCATGGCCAAGGAGAGACTCAACTTGGCTTAAATAAAACAGATCACCTAAATAATGTTGTGCAAAACCCATGTTTGTGTTGGGTCACCTACTCTGCTGCTGTATTTGTTTATCCTGCTGTGGCAGTGTTTGGGGTGATGGGTRTTTGTGGGGCTGTATTTACCTGCAGCTCTCTCCAAAGCAGCCAAATGAAGGGGCACTGCTGGCATTAGGTGATGGCTTTTTACTCTGAACATAGTCATATCTTCTGATCATAATGAATTTACATGAAAAATTTTTGTATGTTACTGATGTCATTGGAATTATATCTGACTTGAATATGGCAGTTAAACTGCAGAGCCAAATCTTACTGCATCGTATGAAAACAAGATTCCTTTCATTGTCTTCCTTTTGAAAGGTAGATTCTATGCATAGTCATTCATTCATTTAGGATTTCTATAAAGCAGATCACAAATGTATTAGATTTAGGTTTCATTGGTGTTGTTTGGATTCGTTTGCGGTTTTTCCCCGAAAACGATGTAAAAGAAATGTCTGGATGTTTCATATAAACTTAACTTTTCCTAATCAGTTTATTTTCTGCAATGATGAGGTATGTTTTCAAATGTTAAAGAATTGTACATTTTGCTCTATTGCAGTGCCTGATGACCTCTCCATGGAAGAAAGAGAAGAGCTTTTAAATATTCGCCGCAGGAAAAAGGAACTGATTGATGATATTGAGGTAATTGATTTACTGTAAAGATCCTTAGAAGACTGCTTCASTAGATTAAGTTACTGTAAGCTGCAGACCTAGATATGAATTTCAGGTAATGGTTTTAAAAGCATAGAAATGACTTAAGCTAAATACTCGTAATAGTGAATAGGATTTCTGCATCATATGTGTGCTTTTAAAAATACGAACTTCTGAATTTATGTAATGCAATATGTGCAGATGTCCACATTTGATTCGTGTAATCAAAAACTCATTAAACAGCAGATTTGCATCCAGGATAAAAGTGAGTGAGAAATGTGGGTAAAGAAATCTTATTAATTGATAATGGCAACTTGGAGTGCAGGTTCATGTGTTCAACAGTCCTTCCGTTGTGTTAAAATCTTTATATATCTAAGGAAGCCCTAAGATTATTCACTTTTCTTCAGGTGAATAATAAATATTAGAAACTAAAAGCTAACTGATGTTATTATTATATGATTGATTTCAAAAGGTGTCCTAATGTAGGTTAATGTATTGTCCTTCCTTCTTTTGACAGAGATTAAARTTTGAGATTGCTGAGGTTATGACTGAAATTGATAATCTGACCAGTGTAGARGAAAGGTAAGTAATGCCAACATATGGACATGATTCAGTGAGACCTTGGAACAGGTCTTCCTGGAACAGCAAATAAAAATACCTTTCCCATGCTAAACAAACAATGGATCACCCTTATTTAGTCTGCTGTAAAGTCCCTAAAGCCTGACTTTATCTGGTGCAGGCATACCATTTGTTTGGATAGAGAATATGTTGGATGGAGTGTAATACTTTACTGTCCAGTTGATAAGGATGTGGGTCTCTGAAGCTGCAGTCACTTAAAGGAATTGAAAATAGTAACATCATTTTCTCCATTATAAAAAGTGAATTGGTTTTTCGTCCTTATAAAAAGTGGATGTCTTAATTTTGTAGTAGAAAATACAAAGTATCCAAAATGCAAATTAAAAGGTTATCCAGAAGTTGTTGTTTTTGTAAAAGAGCAGCTGATAACTGCTTTTTGTTTCTTCTTTGTCCCTTATGTAGCAAAACTACACAAAGAAATAAGCAAATAGCCATGGGAAGGAAGAAGTTCAACATGGACCCAAAGAAGGTAGAGAATTTTTTTCYACTTTTCAGGAATTAAGTTTCTGCTTGCAGTATGATCTATGACAAATTTGTGATAATGTAARTTCACAGGCCTTTCTGTGCTGTGACACACTGAGCAGAGGGTTAAATTGGAAGCAGTCATCAGCTCAGCTGCCAGTCCTGTGCTTCTTTCACTTAAACAAACCTCTGATAATGGAGGTTACTTATCAAATATCAAATATGCCAGCTATTGACTGAYCTGGCTTGCTTTGGACCTGATGCAGGTGTTCTATGCTGATAGGTCAAATATAATTAAAAACATTTTTTTGTTGTTTGGTTATTAGTCAGGCCATAATTTTTCTTCTTTAGTGCTCTCCTGTTGTTATATTTCAAAATACCTTGATCATGTTTTCAGTTTGTTCCCATGCAGAATTTTATATTTGGATATCTAAAGTCTGTTAGTGAAAAAGGCATGTGTGGACATTTATATGTTTGTGTACATATATACACATGGATGTGCACCCATCTGASTTGTACAAACTTGGTGACCAATTTCAAGAAATCTGCTCTGCATTTAGCCAAGAAATAATGTAGTTCTTCTTTGTGGACTGCCTCTGTTTCTGAAATAGTTGTTGATTTTCTGGAAGATTCAGGGACCTTCACATTCTCTTACAGACCTCCCCTGCAATATTTAAAAGAGCTTCTGTGACATATTTGACCTTTAGCTTTGCTTTTCATTTTTCATCTTCCTTGCTTTGTGTTACTGTCTTCTGTTGTTTGTAACTGWGATTCCATGATTTTGTGAAGAGTATTCTTCTAGGTCTTTTTGGAAATCATTTAGCATTTGTTTTTCTGTGTCCTTGACATTTTCTTTCCAATTGTATTGAATTCAGTTACATTTTGGTGGCTTTTCTGAAATGCTCCAAGTACAGTGATGGCTTCTGTTCTTCAGGCTGTTTTCAATTTGCCAGAAGCTCTCAAGTACCAGAACCCTTTCTAAACTCCTGACCATGTCTTTTGTTTTTATTTTCCATTTTGGTGACTGCCTAACTTCTGTTAAGGGCAGAACATCCCCAAATATCCTGGCAGTTTCCTRTTGTCCTCCAGCTCTTTCAAGTCCTGGAAGTTTGTGGCAAAGTCACAGAATGATGTCAGATGCTTTCATTCCAGCATTAACTATTTTTTGTTACGGTTCTTGCTGGATGAAATGATTTCTATAAATAGATGTGGTCACATTGCTACTGTAACATAATTTAAATGTGGTAAACAGAGTAGTAATTTCTTAATAAAGCCTGTGAGCAGTGTAGTAGATCAGCAGTAGCTGTGTGCTCTGAGGCTGGGTCATGGTGGTGTTTGCAGCTGCTATTTTAGGTTACAAACAGCTRAAGTGTGCATCCTTCTGGTCTGGGAGAGCTGCCTTGGGTTTGGGGGAAAAGGTGTATGTCATTCAGAAACATGAGGGGAAGATTTAGGAATAAAAGGATGTTTTCATTCATAAAAACGAGGGGAGGATGCTCTGTGGACTTAGGGGAGGATGCTCTGTGGACTTAGGGGAGGATGCTCTGTGGATTTAGGGGAGGATGCTCTGTGGATTTAGGGGAGGATGCTCTGTGGATTTAGGAATGCCAGACCCCTGTAATAATACCTGGATGAATCCACCACATTTCCTCTTTTAAAACCAGGTAACAGAGGTCTTTATTTCCATATTAGCAGGAGCACAGTGAGGTGATTTCTTTCATCACTTCTGTTTGAAGATCTCTACACTTTGCTCTGTGTGTGTAGGGCAATTCCCCCTTGCCCTTCTGAAAACTGCTGTGTTTTGTGCACTCCATGGTGCCTCAGGATGTACCTGGGTGTTTGGATTTGGGAGAATTGTAATGGTAACATTTGTCAAACACTTCCAGAACCCCTGTGCACAGACAAAGCTCTGCTGCAAATTCACAGTGCTCAAGTTGGTACCGCCTGTGTTAGGCCCAGGAAATGAATTCTCTGTGACAAAAGCAGGGTTTAAATAACTGCAAAATTTGTAATTGAGTTACTGTAAAAACCATGAAATTCAAAGCAGATTTCGTTTCAGTGACTTAAAAATCCATGCAGTATTTGTAGTGAGTACTGAATATGTCTATAGCCATGAGTTTTGTGTGGGGAAGTTAAACTAGTACAGCTGTCATCTGTCTCCTGTCAGTCTACAGCAGGAAAATTTGCATCGAGACAAAAGATAGYGTAGGAGGTGATGGGGGTTTGCTTGGCCTATTTTGCCATTTATTCCAGAYGATGAAGTTGTTGTCCCAGACAAATTCCTTTTCCTGTCTGTTTGACTTCTGATTCTTTAACCTCTTAGAAATAATTAAAAAAGCAATCCAGGAAAAGCAAAATTTAATTGTTTYTTGCAGTGTTGTAAAGTATCTGCTTCTGTGCACAGAAATTTGTTTTCCATACTTCTACTCATGTCCATTATCAGTAACTTGTACAACTTGAAAAAAACCTGTTCAGATCAGTCTGTTTATGCTGAGCAGAATAACATGGTCCAGGTGTTGAACAAGGGAATCAGCTGCTGCTGATATCAGAGGAAAGGTTCTCTTTGGATTGTCAGAGATGAGAGTGTTTTGGAGAACTTGGTGTGGGGAAAAGGACTGTTTTGTAGTCAAATATTGTACAAGTAAAGCTTTGAAGGGATCAGTTTTGAGGAAAGCTCAGCAATTTCTGCTTCAAGACATAATGGATGTATTGTTTGTAAAGAAATCATGTCTGTTGTGAAATGACTTATCAAAATACTAAGTTGTCAGAGTACCAGCCTGGCATAGAAAGTTTTCAGATGACGATAAAATTGTTTTGAGAGAATTGCATTTCTAAAGAAAGCTTYGAGCTTTATAACATCACAGATCACTTTCTTTATTAAATTAGATCAGTTGACATTTTTTTTGTCAGGCAGGTAACCATTTCATTATAAAAAACTGGAATTAGCCAAATGGAAGGATAATAACTTCTGTGAACATTACTAGAGGGCCACCTGTGCTATATAAAAAAAAAGTGGAACTTTTTCAGTTGTAATGAAATAAATAATGCTTCACTTGCAGAAATTGAAGGTTTTGAAATTCTGAAATACTCTAGTAGAGCATATTGGTAATAATTTATTAACCTCTTCCGTACACATTTGGAAACCAAGACACTGAGGTTTGCTAAGAGTTTCCATTTCTGCTTCTCACCTTGTTAGAGTTTGAAGAAATCAGCAGGAGTAGCACCATCTGTGCTGGGTGTGAAGATGTTATCAGTGTCCCTGCCATCATGTACATCATCTCTGTAACTCCTTTCTTTGCTGCTTTGCAGAGAGCTCTCTGGGCTTCCCAGAGTGTGCAGGTGTAGGGCAGGAATTCATGGAGGAGTAAAATCCTGGGGTTTGTTCAAGCACCCTGTGAGGGATGGGGTAAGACTCTCCCCTGCTTGGTGGCAGCTCTTTGTGATGGTGTAGCTGCAGCCCTTTGTGARTAGTTGAATAGTTTAGTTCCAGCACAGCCAGAGTTCACCCATAATCCCAGTGTCAGCACCAACTTTCAGACTGGTTTCAGTATCTTCAGCTTGACTTCCTGCTGCAAGTAGTGGCTTGATGTATTGGGTTGCAGTTTGTAGGTTATAGCAGATGCTTTATTTTGTGTCATGGTGGCAATTAAGGTTTTTCTCTGTGCCTCTTCATTATATGATGTTGCAGATTATGGCTCTGCAGACATTTATGCAATGTTGGGAGCAGGCCAGCTCACACATGAGCTCCAAAGATCAACATGGAATCATCAATTCTACTAATATTGGATCTTTCTATGGTTGAAGGATTCAAACTGCCACCTAGTATTTCTAGCCTTAAAAATGTCTTCTCATTTTCATCYTAAAACCAGTACTAAATATTGCTCATCTAACTGAAAAACATTTGTTTACCATTTTATTTTTTTTTAAAAAAATCTGTAGGTTATTGTCATTCTTAATGTGCTGTGTATCTGTCTGTGTCASTATATTAATACCAAATGTTATGAGTAATATTTACATAAATGCTTGTGGAAGAAGACATAACATTCCCTTTCCTCTGGAATTKCTCTTCCTAGGGAATCCAGTTTCTGATAGAAAATGACCTCCTGCACAACACTGCAGAAGACATTGCACAGTTCCTTTATAAAGGAGAAGGATTGAATAAAACGGTAATTGGAGATTACCTCGGTGAAAGGTAAAGTAAAAACATTGGAACTCTKGAGCTTACAAAGCACTTTTGCATGTTTTGGGTAGTTCCCTTCCCCTTCACAGTCTGCAGGAGAAAGCTGCTCAGATATTCTGTGCAGAATATGTAGACATGTCAACAGTTTTTTACATTAATTACATCTGAGGACATTCTCTCTTAGTTTGGCACCCCCTCTCAGGGGCCCATCATGAATTACTTCTGTATTCTAGCTAAATATAGCTGAAGACAAGACCAGGTTAGTCAACAGAACAAAATATTTATATAACATTCTGCCATAAAGAAATATAGTGCAATTTACTGACTTTCATAGTCTTACAGCACTCAGCAAACTGAAAAAAATGAATGGTAAMATGGAATGAGATATCACTTAAAATATTGGAAAAATGATAATAAATAAGGGATTAATTGCATCCTAAAAAAAGAGTTAAGTTTTTTTCTATGTGGGTAAGTCTTCACTGATTTTTTTAAAGTAGTGTCCTGGAGCTTTTGTGTTATTTGGCTTTGTCTTTGTTGGTGTCCCGAGCACAAGGACTGCCCGCCTCTAAACAAAATAAATGATTTGCTTGGAGTGAAAACAAACCCCTCTGGAGTGCTCTCTTTTATTGCACTCTCACTGCAAAGTGGTTGCCCGGTTGAATTGGGCATTGCTGCATTTGATRAGAATTGCTTGGATTTGTTGACCAAACCGATGTGTTTTTCTGTAAACAATGTGGGAACATGCTGATGAATGAACAGTTGGTTTTCAGGTATTTACTGCTGGGTGCTGAGGTGAGTGCAGTTACTCAGCACAGCAGATCATTGCTGCTGCCTGCACTCTTTGCTATTTTTGGGTGGAGGCTGATACACAACATTCTGACCTGATGAGTATTGAAAGCACTCCCTGAGGATTACAAACCTTTGTGCTTCTGGCACATGAACTCACTGATGGTGCAGGTCAAGTTCTGTCCATCCACACAGTTCTATGTTCATTGAGGTTTAAATGTTCCTTTTGCATTTAAACACTCTTGTATCRAACAAAGCATAATTTGGCTCATTATTTTCATGCCAATATTAGAAAAGGTGAGAGGAAGCCCATTCAAAACCTGTTCAGATTTTAGTAAACRTTGTACCAGTTTTAGAGAATGGAGTAAGAGTACTGTACATGCTAAGGAGCATTTCTCAAAAGCTGTTAATTTTCTTGAAAATCAATAGAAGCATTTTTGTTTCTTCTTTTTGTACATAAATGAATATACTGTTTTAATATTTTCTCAGAGTGGAAAAAGATTGTGATATGTTGTATGGCTAAAGAAACTAGTCTTACTTTAACCATTGTTTTAAGAATTCATGACAATTTCTGTAAAAGACTTTTTACTGAATAAATTTCTCAGGTGTCCTCCTATATCAAGGCAGGTGCAGTACTAATAAATGTGAAATGAATGCAAGGCCATTTTTAGGTCATTTAAATAAGCAGTTCCAAAATCAGTTCAAATATACTGGCTTTTGCTAGTCTGCTAGCAAAAATGGGCAAAGTGCTAGTGTTAAATAGTAAAATACCTCAAATGTGTAGATTATTTTTGATGATTTGATCAGTGTGTGATTGTTTATTTTGTTACTTAGTTCTGGAAGGAAATTGAGATAACTGGGAAGTGTTTAAAGGTCAGAACTGTAATTGTCTRTTTCCATTTTTGTCTTTCACAGAGATGAATTTAATATTAAAGTTCTTCAGGCTTTTGTTGAACTCCATGAGTTCGCCGATCTCAATCTTGTACAAGCCTTAAGGTGAGTAAATTCTGTTTTTTGACCTGAACTTCCTACATCAAACAGCATGTTTCTGTGAGTCACTGTGTTGATTTATTGGTCAGAAAGCTGCCCTACAGCTCAGCACAACTGTACAAATGATTGTGCAAGTGAGCAGAGASAGCTCAGTTTAACCCTCTGATGGTTTGTGTGTGTGCTGCCTTTGAGGATGAAAACTCCTGGTTATTTGAGAGTACAAACAACTCAAACAGCTCTTACTCCTTGGTGTGCCTGCCATACATTCAAAGATCTGTTTTGTGTCTTAGCACAGAGATGGATTCAAATAAAGAGTTTATTTCTTTTTAATAAGTAATTTTCTTGCTCCTTTTATTCCACCTYGRCTTGTCCTTCTGGGCAAGGAGGRGGAGAAAACCACTGCCCACAGTCASTGTTTGTGTTCAGTCACAGAGAGGTAAACTCTGAAACAAGTGATTTCCTTCTTCCCTCAATTCCCTCAGTCATGTGGAGGAAAGTGTGATATCTTGGTGTATTTTTTTCCCTTGCTACGTGAACAGTTCCCTTGATTTATCTGGGATGCTGCATCCAGTGACCTTGTGAGATCCCTTCTCATCCTGCTGAAAACCCCTAACAGATTGAGCAAATGAGCTTGATTTAGACAGTTGTGCCTGTTCTTTTGCCACAAGTGACTCCCTCCTGACACCAGATCAATGGAAATGTCCGTGTGATCTTTGTTTCTGGTGCAGTGCCTTGTGATGTGGAGTCACAACAGCTTTGCTATGGTTGRGTGATGTGGTGATGATAACTTGAGCTGCCTGAGGCTTGAGCCAAAGAAACCTTTTCTGTGGCTGCTGAAGCTTGTCTGGGAAGCTTCCTATTCCTGTCTCTTTTCCCCAATTTGATGTTAGGTTTGACTTTATTCTTCCTTAGCAGCTGCTACTATTAAATGTTTGTATTTTGGTAGCTTACAAAATTGGTGATCTGGGTTGGAACCTTGCACGAGGTGAGTAAAAGCCAGTCTATAGAGCTGACACCCTAAAGATGGCCTGTGACACTTGACTATAATGTCCTGAAATAAAAACTGATGAAGACACGAATAAAGGGTTGTTTTATTGGCATCCAATGTACAGGGAATAGTGAGAACTTGTTTTGCATGGCAGAGCATGTAACTTTGCTGGTTTAGATCCTGGTTTAATTCAGACAATTCTTTTGCTAAGAGATAAAAGAATAAATGATGAAATTCATTGGAACATTTTAGTGCCAAAATAAATTTGTGAAGGCTTCTGTCCTGTATGCATTCCAGTGTACCTCTGTGTAGAAATAATAAGTTACAAAAGTCACTCTGTATTCCAGTTAATGATGCTAAGCAGCAGCAAGTTCTGCTGCCTATATTCCAAAATTACTGAAATGATAACATGAATTGTTCTTTTTAAGACCTAGGTCTGATTCTTGTAGGGTGATCTTACAGCAGACAGGCAGCACCTCTCTAAGCACTGGGTTTTTCTTGTTGTTGTTACCATTTTTAAAAGGTTTCGTATGAATTTAAATAATCATGTTAAGTCTTTCTGTATCCCTTGTTTCTCTCGCCTCACACCAGAAATATTTTGTGTAAYGTGTCTTTTTACATTGTGAATCAAGTCTAGCTGACTGTTCATTGCTTTATGTAGCCAGGAAACCCAGGGAGGATTGAACTCGTTTTTTTCCCCCCATAGCATTCTCATGGCAAAAATGGGATGCATACAGAAAATTGTTTACTAGTCTGGAAAAAAGAGAGAGCCTCAGAATATGAAGTGCCATATTATCTTGCCTGCTAGCATGCAGTGTTGCTGGCTGAGTTACTGGGCTAGCCATCTGTGCATGTTGCTTTATAATAGCTCCTGACTTGTGTGTTCAGAGATTGACAACCTATTTCTAGGACATTCTATAGAGACCTCACTGATTTTTTTCCTTTTCCGTTTGTTTCAGATTATTTGTGATAAAAGCTTAATATATAAATATTGGACTTAGTCTAACAATGATTTTTTCACTCTGTAGGCAGTTTCTGTGGAGCTTCAGACTCCCAGGAGAGGCTCAAAAAATTGATCGTATGATGGAAGCTTTTGCTTCACGCTATTGCCTTTGTAACCCRGGAGTCTTCCAGTCTACAGGTCAGTCCCAGGAAAAAAGAAGAGTTCTGAAGTGTTTACATGATCCAAAATAATTCTATTTATATACATAATATATATATGTTCTACATCTGATGCAAGGAGATAATGGCGAGGATAAAATGTGAAATGAGAATTAGCTGAGAATGGAGAAAAATGTTCCTGTCTAATCCAGGAGGTGCAAGCTTATGGTCAGATTTTTCATTTACAAATTTTCATTTGTAAACCTTCACAGAACTGCACAGAATGCCCTGACATTGTTGGTCATGTACACAAATATTTTGCTCTTCATCACTTAATTTAAGGAGCAGATAGGCTGGGAAAAGGTGGATGTAAAGCAGGTCTGTAAGAGCCAGAGAGGAAAACAGCTACTGAAAACAAACTGCTGAAGATGCAGGCACATTTTTCCTCTGTGTAGCAGGTTTTCATCCTGCTTTTTCTTACACAGAATCTTGTACTTGCATTCTGGCAGAATTTACTGTAATCAGAACTATGTCAAGAGCACGATGAGATTTCCTTTGTCATTTTTGATATTGTCCAGTAGTGCTGGCTACCTCCTGTATGCCAAGAAATTGAGTCAATTTAATTTTCAATCTTTTTTAATGCAATTCAAAATACTATTTTGAAAAGATGATTCTTTCTCTCTGGAGAAAGCTTTGGAAGTACTTTGAGTAGGAGGAGGCTGATGGACCAGGTTTATTATAGCATCCACCACTATGATTTAGGCAAAATCTGTGCAGAGAACATTTTGCCCAACACTTTTAACGTTTCAAGTAAAATGTTAATTTAGGGTGATAGCAACGATTTCGTAAGAGTTTAAACTTTTTTTTTTGGATTCTCATGCAGTTTTTCTTTTGTTTTACTTAATTGTAACATTTTTTCTTCTTGGGCTTACTTCAACAGCTTCAAGAAAGATTCTAGACTTTAATGTGAGGATTTTTTTGGCTTTTTTTCTTTATCAGTCAGGATGAGCTGTATGCAAATTTCCCAGGTTTATACACACAACACAAAGGAAGATAAACCATTTTTCAAAATCTGCTTTCAGATACATGTTACGTGCTTTCATTTGCCATCATTATGTTGAAYACCAGCCTGCACAACCACAATGTGAGAGATAAACCCACAGTGGAGAGGTTCATCTCCATGAACCGTGGCATTAACGAGGGTGGAGACCTTCCAGAGGAATTGCTAAGGGTGAGTTAGGCTGGGTAAGATTAAACCTGGCTTTGTGTTTTTAATAGCAGACTTAAGAGTGTGTGCAACAGTTGTCAGGGAGATCTGTCCAGGAAAGGCAAAATAACATTTTCTGGAGTGAATAACCATTAGAGTAGCTGAAAGAAGGATTTTCTGGTATTCACAGCTACTTTGTGCTGGTTCCCCCTATATCCAGCCTTTTGTTAGGAGCTGTGTCAGAGAAAACACTCTGGATATATCTCAATAGTTTGTTTATGGCAAAATTCTCGTGGAATTGGCTTCTTAGTATTTCTAGATAAACCATAAAAATAGTAAAAATTACTGGTTTCTTTATCATCTCTCATTTTTCCACGATTCTTGTGGTGCTCCCTCCTTGAGAAATCAGTAAAAATATYCACTGCACTAAGGCAGTGATGAGACACACCATTTTCTAAAAACCAGCTTCATTTGGCAAAACTGACACTAAATGAGACTGATCCTGAAACCTTGGAAATACTAAATGCTGAAATTAAACCAAAATTGACTTTGCTAGGAGTGCTTAAGAAATTTGTAATGGAGAGAGTTTTGCTTATAGATGAAGTAGTTTAAAATCAAACTTGGTCAAAGTAGTAAATAAGGAGTGGTCCAGAATTTTGTGCAAATTTCCTGTGCTTTTTGTACAAATAGTCTGAGAAGCAGTAAAATATCCTGGTTGTGTTTTATGTAAAGACATTTATTAATGAGGTCTTYTCCCTCTTTTTGTTTTTATTCTTTCTAGAATTTATATGAAAGTATTAAGAATGAGCCATTTAAAATTCCAGAGGATGATGGAAATGATCTAACGCATACATTTTTTAATCCAGACAGAGAAGGTTGGCTGCTGAAATTAGGTTAGTCCCAAGGGCAGTTCTGCTGCTGGATGTTTGTTCATTGTTAGCATGTTTGCTGCTCCGTGTTTCCCTGCTTTCCTGTCAAGGTAACAKGTTTGACTTCCTATTTCAATATCTATCAACCAAAATAAGCAGCTCCTTTGCATCTGAAGGCTGTTACTTCTTTATTTTGCACACCCAAATTAGCAATCTTGTTTTGAACTTCGGAGTTTTATTTCTGCCATCTGAGAAATAAAAACTCGGCGACAAAAAGGAAACACCACATGGTATTTACCACATGCTGTGACTGGTAAATAACAACTAAGTCTCCATAAGGTCATCTCAGAAAACTGTGTGTGATGCTTCAACACAGTTTTCTGTGTACAAAAAAAAAAAGGATTTCTCTTCAAATAGTTATTTTTGTATGTCTTTATTTTTCCATATTATTTGTGAGTTTTCTCTTGGTTTGGTTTTGGCTATGATTTTTTAATGAGTGGTTTAAATGTGCCTTCTTGTTTTCCTTATGGCCTATGACCTATCACCTTTCTGTTCTGTGACTGGCTGTCTCTGCTTATTCTGCTGTAGGAGGTACGTATCTGATTGCTTTCCAGTCCCCTCTTCTTCAGTTGCTCATTCTTTTATTTTCTTCCTCCGTCCTCCTGTTTTTTTTCTTCGTTCTTTATTTATTTTTTTTTTAAATCAGATGTGTTGTAGCATTTTGCTTTTTCACTCAGTGTCACTAACAGTGTCATCAGTGGTGCTCTGAGGGACTGGCATGTCAGTGTCTAACTCACATGCAGAAGAAAAAAGCATTTATGTGTAAAACATTAAAATAAGGATGGTTTCAGCACACTTTACTCATTCATGGAAGAATATAACAAGGGAACAATAATCTCTGCTGAGTAAACAACATGTCTTACTCTGTCATGAAGTTTCAGAGTGGTTTTGTTACTTGTTTATCGATTATATTAGATTATTGAAAGGTTGATTACATTTGAACTAYGTATTTGTAAAAGCTGTTACTTTTCCTGCTTATTTTCCTTTATAAATAATACATTTAGCTTACTTAAATGAGCTTCAAATGTAGGGTTGCAGAAACCTCAGGTAATTCAGTCTCCTGGCACTGCAAACTGCCTTTGTTTTTACAGACTCTTGTAATGGGATTCACTTTTTCACTTGGCCTTAGGGAAATTTTTTTCCTCTATAAAGGAGGCTGGCATTTTGTTTTAACGGTTCGTTTTCAAAACAATATTTTTTTTTATTTGAACACCACTACACACTTTAGTAGAGTTGGTTTTAGTGTATTAAACTGCTTGTTAAAATGGAAGGAACTCTGCACTTGCAGAATGGTGATTAAAGGTGGAAATGGATGTAAAAAGTGGGGAAAGGGGAGTGTGGACAGAGCCACGATTGCACCTGGGACTGGGTGCTCATGCTTGTGCTGAAAGGAAATGGATGTGAGAAGGAAGCATTTGCAATTCATTCAGTGTCATATTCTGACCTCGGTGCTACAGATGCTGTGGAGCTCCTTTTCTAACTCCAAAAAAGCAAAGCTCTTGCTTTGTGACCTGTATTGGCTCAGCTGGCACAATTTCAAACGTGACTTTGCAGCTTTTCTCCATTTTGGCATGAGATATGTTAATGGAAAAGCTTTCCAAGCTGATGGAGGTGGATGTGCTTGGAGAAGGGGTTGAGGATACTCAGTGTGTATATACTCAGTGTGTATATACTCAGTGTGTATAGTGTATATATGTGCTTGTTTGTAGTGTGGGTGCTCAGAGGAGAGGCTGAGGATACTCAGTGTGTATATACTCAGTGTGTATATATGGTGCCAGTGCTTGGAGAAGGGGTTGAGGATACTCAGTGTGTATATACTCATTGTGTATATACTCAGTGTGTATATATGTGCCTGTTTGTGGATCCAGTGCTCAGAGGAGAGGCTGAGGATACTCAGTGTGTATATACTCAGTGTGTATTTATGTACCTGTTTGTGGATCCAGTGCTCCTCACATACACTCAGAGTGCAGGCAGGTGTGAGTTGTGCACAGGAATGACAGATCCTCTGTGCAAGAAACTGCCCATAAAACAGATCCAATAAAAACTGGAGGAACAAAGGAACTGAGGAAGTGCTGAAAGGGAATGAGAGCTGCCTTCTGGCTCAGGCTGTGGTGAGAAGCAGAGAACAGGACTGAAAACTCAGCCTGAGTGTTGGGTGTGTAGGATGCAGATGAGCCAGTGCAGGAAAACCCAGTAGTARAAGGGTGTGTGAAGCAGAAGGGTGTTACACGTAACACTCCCACGGCGTGAGGGTTATTTGAATAAAGAAATGAAACGTGTCCAGAAGCCTCTGGTGAATCAGCCTGGGAATGCCTGGAGCTGTGCCTCTGGGAAAGATTGCATTTTTTTCAGCAGTCACAGCCTGGTACAGGCTAATCCACTGCTGGTTTAGGTGCAGTGACCAGAAATAAACCTGACAGTCATTTTTTTCCCTTTTATTTCTTTCCTTTCCCTCAAGTTTCCTMTTTGCTAGGAGTCTTGAACTGCATGTGGAGAGTGGTGTTTCAATCCACATTGTTTGCATTTTTACAGTCCTTTCAATTGGGAAGCACTTCTTGTGAAATGGGTGGGGTTCGCTTCAGTTCTGGAAGATTCTGGTATTAAAAATTTGTGTGTTGTTGAAATGCTAAGGAGACATAATTCCTGTATGAGGTTTTAAGTGCTCAGTTGTGATAAAACATAATAGATTTTTATTTTAAACTATAAATAGAGTTTTATTTTAAACTATAAATATGACTAAGACTACTTGCAGCCCCTGAGTATATCGAGGCAGTATTTTGTATCTGGTATTTCTCACAGTCAGCTCTTCCCATGTATGGAGTTGTGCCCTTTTTTTGGTATTCCATCTCTCACTAGATTGATTTTTCTCTGGCAGAAGACTGAGATCATGAAACTTTGATATATTATAAAATTGATCTGACCAAAAGATTACTCTGGGTTTTGGAAGGCTGGGAGGGTGTGGAATGCTTTCAGAATTGTTCTGAGGTGACTGAGTTGAGCCC